AAATGCTATTAATTTTAGAAATTTTTATGTAAAATATATTGCATATTTAGAAATATAATATAATATTATATAATTATTTAATTTATTCTACTATAATAAAAAAATACATGATATATTCAAGTTGAAATATTTTACATGAAAAATAGAAAATAGAAAATTCATTTTAAGTTCATTTTAAAAATAATCACTTCACGTTCAAAGTTTATCTTCAATATCATATTATACATTTATCGCGTTAGCATGTTCACGTTAGCAACTTCAATCTTCAGAAGTTGAACCTTATTTTGATCAACTTGTGCAATCTCTTTAATCTTTCCAAGTTATATCGTATTTTGATCTTCTATTCAGTCAACTTTTTAATCCGTCCAACTTCTATTTTATTTTGATCATCTTTCGCATCCATCAAACTTTTTAATCTCTGTAAATTGCGTTACATTTTGATCGTCATCCACACTTTATAGACCGTCTGCACTTCATAATCGTAATTGCGTTTCAAACATATTTTATATAGTCCATATCCATAATCGGTGAATAATTAAAGTCTCGAAATTGTATTTTAACAAGCAATTTTGCGAAAGAACGACGACAGAACAGATTTCCACGTGTATATTACGGGATTAGAATTAAAATTAATGATATTTTTATCCATCCCGATTATTTCAATCCCAAAATTATCTTAATCTATCATCCATTATTTTTTAAAATAATTAAAAAAAAATCTAATCTCGTTACTCAATAATCTCAAATATTTCGTTTTTATCCATTAAAATCGAATTTAAAAAAAAACTTAATTTTTTTCTAATTTTTTCTCTCCTTCACCAAAAATCCTACCTACATCAATCTTGAAAACTTTTCAAATTTTCCTTCAACTGGCTAAAGATTCTCAAGAAAAGTCGCATCAAATTTCTCGTCCAAAACTTTTCAAAATCCAACCAATTAATATTTCTTCTCGTTTTTTTCTTTTTTTTTATCGTCGCGCGGTTTTCTTTTCAATTCACGTCCCCTTCCCTCCCTACCTCGCCGTCCCTTCAGCCGATTAATTTTCATCGAGAGATTTCGAGAAAGGACTCGGTCGGTAACGATGGACGGGTTGCAAACACGAATCGAGCGTGAAAAAATCGAGGTGAAAAAACGGGAATGAGAATTGGCGCGGCCTTAATCTGACGGAAAAACGAGGAAATTTTCTATGTGAAATGCATCGGCCACGGGAAAAATATTCTCGCTCTAATTGCCACGCGATCTATTATCATTCTCTGTTGGAAACGTCGCTTAGATGAGAATTGCGTTAACAGCGAGTGAATCGTGTTGTCGTCTCGAGTTGTGTCATTTCTAGTGTGAAAATGGGACGTGTTTCCACTTTTTTTATTTTTTTTTATTTATTTATTCCATTGCCGCGATGATTTTGAAACGAGCTACTATTTCTTCTGTTATACTGTGTTTTTGTTCGTAGAAAATCGTAAAAATTTATTTTTTATCTCTAGAAATTAAGTAATTTTTAATAAATTTATTA